CGAACCAGATCTGCGAAAGCGAAAGCCATATTCCCCTGGGCAGATGTTAAGGTTTCCGCCTATTTTTTACGTCTTTGTAGGCGGTTTTATCCGGCTTTCTTGTTTTTACCGGCATTCTTTTCTTTACCTGTGGCGTTTTGGATAACTGTCCTGCCAATTTCATACTGTTTTGACAATTTGATACCGTCTAAGCAGTGCTAATCAAGCCGCCAAAAGATCTGCCTGGAGGTTAAAAAGACTACCTGGCTGCCGTTTCCACCACGTAAACATGAAGCCCTGCGTCTTGCTGTTAGCCGCCTTCTTACTCAAGGTGCTGGTCTCGAGTCCCGGAGGTCAAGCTCAAACAACAGGTAGGTCATGTTCACGGTCAAGATATACGAACAATTGTTCAGTGTTTACGTGAGTTTCTACACTGTCCACAGGTGTCATCATGTACGTTGTTTACAAGATCGTCAGGTCATGTTTTGCGTGGGAATAGGAAAGGTAATATAATGTTATCGTTTTAGAATGCGTTCAGCAAAGCTGGGGAAGACGAATTGTTTCCTGGGTAACAGCTTATATACTGTGAAAACTTCAAACTAAATGTTTCTGTATCTGTATCTGTATAGCCGGTATAACCGCCTTTCGGCGTAACACACCAGCTTCGCAGGCACGCGGCGCGGCGGCAGCTGGCTATATTACACCGATCGACTTGTTACACCTAACCCTTGAACTTCTAGCTCTAGACATTGTTTAAAGCTATCTATTGACAGTGCCCCTACTGTACTTGGTGACAGTGAGTTCCACTCTGCGATAGTTCTAGGAAAGAATGAATTCTTGAACACCTCAATCCTTGGTTGATAACTCTGGTACTTGAATGCGTGGCTATTTCTTGTTCTCTTCTGAGCTGGTATTAGGTACTTAGTAGTTGGGACATCCACCAGTTTATTAGTCTGGAAAATAAAAATAAAAAGAATAGGTTGTTGCGATAACTTTTGCGTAATCTTTGATTTGGCGAATCCATTGAAATCACAACGCACCTATACTAGCTTTTTGGGTCAGACCGCATCACGATTGATCGCGGACTAATACAAAAACCGTGAAAAACTCTGAAAATGGTGGAACTTGCGTGGACGGCGTCAACTCCTGTAGCTGTGATCCTGGCTATGAAGGAGATCACTGTTAAACAAGTACACCTATTAAGAATGAAGTAACCTGGATGACAGATGTTTCATTTTGTTGTATTTTAAAGAAAAAAAACGACATGAGCATATCAGAAGCTAGGAAAGGCATTGCTGACCGTACTCTTTGTGATGCAAGCGACTTGCTAGAATTCAAATTGCTTTTTTCTTGGAAGCATATTGACTGACATCCCAATATGCCAATGCAGGGCCCGGCAACTGTTCTGGTGTGACCTGTCAAAATGGTGGAACTTGCGTGGACGGCGTCAACAGCTATAGCTGTGATTGTGTTTCTGGCTATGAAGGGGATCACTGTGAAATTCGGGTAAACAACATTTAGCTAGTAAGAACGCCTGTTACAAAAGAAGTAATCTGATTTAAATATGTTACATTGCTTCCTTGGCTTTGTGGAAAAAACTACTATGTTGTAATGGGGGGGGGATTCACAGCACTAATCGTAATTTATGTTGCATTAGATTTCTCAATTAGCATTCTCAGTATGTTTTGAATTGAAATAGACAGTTGGGCATTTGTTGATTGTATTACATTCCATTCACCCTAATTAACGACGGTTGGGTTGATAGCCACATTATGACTTTTAGGTGTTTCTTCACCATTGTCTTTGACGTGAAACTTCCTACTTGATTGTTCCCCTGTAGACAGACTGCAGTGACTCGAGTCCTCACTGTGCTTACTGGGCAAGTATAGGTGAATGTGAGAGCACTCCAGGGTACATGCTTCCCAACTGTCCTCTGAGTTGTGGCCAGTGCACTCCAGGTAAATACAATTTTAAACACGAAGTACTCCTATTAAAAACGAAGTAACCGGGATGACTTCATCCTGTTCTCTGGTAAAGAAGACGACCATGCCATAATGATGAAAATCCACAGCTGAATTATAGATAATTGTACTTTGTGATGCATGGGATTTGGGACAGGTCAAGTTGTTTCTTTTGTTCCTGACTATGAAGAAGATTATTGCGAACGAAGTAAGTATCTGTCTTATGAACCAGAGTTCCGCGAGCTCATACCTTCACCAGATGATTTTAGCGTTTAAGACTCAGGAATTATGACTGTTTCTTCTTGCTTATGTAAATAATATTTCATGAATGATATGAGTTGACCATGTTATACTGTATGTCATTTTGGATTATGTCTTTTTCTTGTAATGTATAACGTTTGTCAGTATTTGTACTTGTATACCCAGCACTACCTGAAAAACAGGTTTTTTAATGTAACCTGAGTGTATTTTGCTGGTAAAATAAATAAATGAAATGAAAATGAAATGAAATGTTCTCCACCAAAGGCAGCCTTATCTATATATAAAGGCTATATAATAGCATTCTCTGTGGAACAAAAACACGTCAATAGAGGTATGAGGTTTCAATAAAAGTCTCTTGCCTTACAGCGACGGCCACTACAGCGACGGCCACTACAGCGACGGCCACTACAGCGACGGCCACTACAGCGACGGCCACTACAGCGACGGCCACTACAGCGACAGCCACTACAGCTCAAGCCACGACTCCGACTCCATTGGCAACGCCCCCGACCTCACCGACAACGCCGGCTGGACCAAGTTAGTTTTAAAACTTGAATTTTGACATACTAAGTAACAACATTCGAATGAAAGCTCATCTGTGTTGGTAGAATCCATAGTTAAAGAGTTCGAGCTCGTTCCAACACAAAGAAGTAACAGCGATTGCATCACACATCTGATGACGGTTGATGATATAGAATTCCCAGCTGGGAGAGGGTTTGAATAAGTTTTGCTTTATCTATATTTCCCATTTAGAAATTTAAGTATATGTAGTTCTCATTCTTGTTTGTTTGTTTCTTTGTTTATTCGCATTTGACCAAAGAAATAAAATGAACATAACATAATCATAAACAAAAGAGATATGCGAGGGAAGATAAAGGGCCGTTATGGCCTGTCCAGGATCTTCCCCCGACAACATAAACTGTATGATACATTATACATTATAGTAATTGATAGATAGTACAAATGATATTAACAACACATGATAATGATTAATATCAGATAACAATTAATAAATAAGAATTAATAGTTATTAAGAAACGCAATATGACGTTTGATCTTGAAGGTGGCAGTCGGCCTAGCCGACCGAAGAAGCTTGAGTAACTACGGTATTGTAACTAACAACCTTTTCTCTTCTGCTGCCTCTCTTTTCCCATAGCAAAGTACGTGCCTGCAGACGAGAAAGTGGGGCTTGGTATTTTGGCGGGAATTACCATAGCGACAGCATTTGTCGGTTCCCTTCTCGGAGTGGGGGTGAGCCAGCTGGTGAAGTGGTGCCGTTCCAAGCCAAAGGGGGAAAGTTCAAGGCAGGCTGATTTGGAAGGTAAAAATATTGGACAATTTTTTGGTGTTTTTAAAGTTAAAACTTTTGGTCCAACACAAAAATTCTCTCACCTAGAGCTTTCGACCAGTCACTCTGGTCTTCCTCAGTAGACTGACCCAGTGAAGCTTGTCATGTGGCTTCTTCGGAGTGTGACGTCACACTGGGTCAAAAGTATCTGGTAGACGATGTCGGCCCCCGTCGCGGTTCAAAGAATGGTGATGAGCCCTGATGTAAATAGCCTCCTTCACCCCTCTCAGGAAATAGTCTTGTTCAGTGTCCAAAATCCTCACAGTGTCAAATGAAACAAAGTGTAACAAGTTTTTAGTGTGTTTCCTTAACTGTGACTCACTCTCCGCATTTCGACACGACATTTCGTTCGTCGAAAATTCTCTGCATCATTCTGTTTACTTTGAACTTTCAACCTTGAACGAGGACATTACTTTAAGTATCACTTAATTATGTTTCTATTAAGATCACAAAACCCGCTCAGTATATATGCAAAACGTGGGACAGTGTATCATCTACTGCCTCCAAAGAAAAAGTCAAAGTCCACAATAGCAAACGTAGTACCATATAGTTGATCCTTGCCTCAACCAGGCTTCGGGGAGCGGCTGGGAAGCTCTAAGTTGATCCGACAGTAGCCGTATGTTCTACTTCTACTTTTTTTGACACTGTGCCAGCAATTAGCCTTCGGGCTTGATTTTGCAAATAAAGTTATCTTAGGCCACACCAATTTAATTTGTTGGTTTGTTGTTGTTTGTTGGAAAAAAATGAAGCGACAGGGCGAAAAAAATGTGAGCCTATGGGTGAAATTGATTTTTTTCCATTCAACGAAATCTGATAGCGGCGATTCCGACTTTAGGATGTAGTTTCCGATTCCGATGCATTTTAGCAACTTGCAAATCATGCAAACTAAAAGAAAGCACGTGAACTTGACAATTTTTGCAGAAGAAAACTCCAACGCGGTGCGTTTGGAACCGATCCCACTCCCTCGCCCAGACCAGACGGGGGATGCCCAGGTCCATTACATATATGACGTCCCGACAGTGCCGCCATTACTTCGCCAGACAAGCGGGCAGCCGCGCCCAGACCAGGCGGGGGATACCCGGGTCCATTACGACGTCCCAAGAGTGCCGCCTGTTCTTCACCAGCCAAGCGGGCAGTACCAGGAACTCCAGCCGACCCACTACCAAGGCTTGGTGCATTGCTGTGAGTCATTGTAGGATACAGGAGTTTTCTTTTACACAGTCAAGATTGTCTTACCTAGCTTACGTTTCGATGTCTATCAGACACCTTCCTCAGAGCTTCTGACTGGAGTTCTGCTTCTCGCCGCTTAATACGTAGCCGATGAAGGAAGGTGTCTCTCTCTCTCTCTCTCCTCCACCGCATGTCAGCTGCTGAGGCAGGCCATCATTGCCTTCCAGGTGTCTGATAGATACCGAAACGCAAGCTAGGCATGTGGGGTCGTGTGGAGTAGCGAAAATGAGTACTGTATTGTCCCCTGTGTTGGTGGCGGCATTAATATAAGTTGAAAAAACTTAAGTGTGCCGTCACCACGTCTTGTGATGTGTTGGAATAAAAAAAAGCTAGGTCAGACTATTTTGGTTACACAACGGTTTTAGCTGTATGGGGGGGGGGCTGTATCCATCTGTATTCCAACATTTCATGACTAGATATGGTGACGGCACACTGAAGTTATTTTAACTCATTTTTATGCCTATACCAAAGTAGGAGACAAATACAGGGCAGGACAATACTCAATGATTTCACTTAAGTGAGGAAAGTCGTGTAAAGTGCCTTTCCCAAGGGCACAAGATCTGTGGCATGTCACGGGACCTCTTGGTTCCGAGTCGCGCACTCTGCCGCTACGCCACACGACCCCAGAAGGGCTCCCATAGGGGTTAGGATAGTAGAATTCGAACATAGAATCCGACTCTCTCTCTCTCTCTCTCTCTCTCAAGATGACCAGTTCTAACCGTAACGCTTTTGCCGCCAGACATCTGCTAAAAGTTCGCACTTCACATGCTAGTCTTAGCTGAATGTCCAGTCAAACTCTTTTTTCTACCTCCATGATCAAACCAATAGATAAATGAATGAATTTTTTGTTTTCCTAGATGAGAATGACCAGGAAGAGGAGTATGTAGAGTCCACCGCAAGGGAAGATTCATCTCCATACGAGCCGATGGACAACAGTTATCTTGAACCATAACTTGTTTGTTACCTTCACCAAGAAGGTTATGTTTTCAGAGGCGTTCGTGTATGTGTGTGTCCGTCTGTAGACACGATAACTTGAGAAGGCTTAAATGGATTGTCTTGATACTTGGTAGGTGGGTAGGTTTTTAATGAGACCTAAAAATGATTAGATTTTGAGATTTTGGACCCCCTAGCGTCTCGTTATGGTACTGCAGCTGAACGTCCGGTTTTGATATCTCATGATCCAGACTAGGGTGACGAAATTTGGATGGCAGGTAGCTCTTGCGCTGGGGAAGAAGTGACTTGAGTTTGGGCCCCCTAGCGGCTTGCTCTGGAACTGCAGGGCTATCTGTTTCAAAATATTCAAAAGAGGATAACTCAAGAACCAATCGACGGATCGTCGTGATTTTTGGTATGTAGGTAGCTTACGTGATGCTTGATATAATTATGTGACAATTATGCAAAAATGGATGTAATTTGCATAATCTATGGGGAAATTCAGCTGCATCCCATGATAGGACTATTGAATCTTGTGACATTGGTAATAGAGAATGAAACACAGGCAGATATTGATTATGTAAATGAATACTTAATTTGCATAATTAACGAGAAAAGTTTATAATTATGTCATGATAACTGCCTGGAAGTTCATACTTGTGGTATTTGAAAGTTCAGTGAAGGTGAACATTACTAAACACAATGTACATTGTACAGTGTATTCAAATCAGGACCTTATTTGCATAATTTATGAGGAAATAATAGAATGGCACTGTTTGTTTATATAAGGTTGTCCTTTGGTTGAGAATATAATAAATTGATATAATTCATGAAAATGAGCATCCTATTTGCACAATCAGGGGGAATAATCTACAAATTGTCAGTCATAAAGATTGATATCATTTGAGGTCCGGGAACTCTAGTTTCTTTATGTGTTTGAGCCATCATTAGTGAAAAACTGAACTTGGCCTGCTATTTTGTATGTTTTTACTATTAGTAACTAGTCTTTGGTTACATCATGTGTTTGAGTAAGAAACAGAGCAGACCATATGTCAAGGTCAACAATATGCATTTACTTTACAAAATGTAAGTTACGTTTCTAGTTTTAACATTATGTATTTGCAAATGTTACCTTTCTAGTCTATTTCGAATTTGATAGGAAAGTATTACCTGCATTGAAAATATAAATGAATACCAATTCTGGTTTTCACGGCATAGTAAAAGGCTCCGAAGATCTTTTTAATCTTTTTTTTTGCAAAACATATGATCCTAACATAAGTGGTAACGGTCAATGTAGCAAAGAAAAGTCCAAAAACATCTACATGTATATATAAACAAAGAGGTAGTGCATGGGATAAGACATGGGCATAGGAAAAATGTTGTGTTTCCTATTGTATTTCCCGACCGAACCTAGAAAAAACTGCAGACCCTAGCCTTTTTGTGTGAACCCCTGCAAGGGACATACAACCTTTTCTATCTCCATGATACAAATTGTGACGGTTGTCACTGTTAAACATTTTATTGGATACATTTTTGCTCAATGCTGATAAAATATAAGTAGTACAGATTACGCATGAGATGACACATATTCTACTATGTTGTAGGGAAAAAACTTTGGTCACTGTTATACGTTAAATAGAAAATTACGAGAACATAGAACAAGGTGTTGCTCACAATGTTGCTTGTGACAGGAGTAGGCATGAAAGTATTTTTATGTCGTCTCGATATTATTTGTTTATTTTTAATATGAGTATAGCTAGCATCAACATAGCTGGAAATAAATGTTTTTAAAGCCCTTAAATGAGTTAGCCTGTATACTGGCCCTGGAAATTAAATAGTCTGGCACCCAGGCTAGCCCTGGAGCCGAGGAGATGGCCTGTATACTAGCCATGGAAACAGTCTGGCACCCAGGCTGGCCCTGGAGTCGAAGAGCTAGCCTTTATTGTGGCCCTTGCAATAGTCTGGCAACCAGGCTAGCCCTGGAACTGAGGAACTAGCTTGTATACTGGCCCTGGCAGCAGTCTGGCACCCAGGCTAGCCCTGGATCCGGAGCTGAGGAGCTAGCCTGTATACTGGCCCTGGCAACAGTCTGGCACCCAGTCTAGTCCTGAAGCCGAGGAGCTAGCCTGTATACTGGCCCTGGCAACAGCCTGGCACCCAGTGTAGCCCTGGAGCCGAGGAGCTAGCCTGTATACTGGCCCCGGCAACAGTCTGGCACCCAGTCTAGCCCTGAAGCCGATGATCTGGCCTGTACACTGGCAACAGTCTGGCACCCAGGCTATACAGATACAGATCATGCCAACCCTGGTGTCGTGAGGATTTCGCGTCGATGCCCCCCCCCCCGTTAAGACTGCGACAGCTGAGGTCATACTGTTGCTTTGCCCTTCAAAAATTGTCAGTCGTCCAAAAAAGATTTGCGGAAGCGAAACTCATTCTCCTAGCAGAGGTTTTGGTTTCCGCCTATTTTTCACGTCTTTTTAGTCGTTTTTATCTGGTTTTCTTTTTTTTTTGTACGGGTACTAGTATCTTTCTTTTACCGGATACTGTCTTGAAAATTTAATACTGTCTTGTAGTCACCAAAAATCTTCAAGTTGGAGGTTAAAAAGTATATCTGGGTTCCAGTATCCACCACGTAAACATGAAGTCTTCCGTCTTGCTGTTAGCCGCCTTCTTACTCAAGGTACTGGTCTCGAGTCCCGGAGGTCAGGCTCAAACAACAGGTAGGTCACTTTCACGGTCAAGATAGACAAACGGTGGTTCAGTGTTTACATGAGTTTCTGCTAGACTCCACCAGACTCTCTCTCTCCCATCTCTCTCTCTCTCTCTCTCTCTCTCTCTCTCTCTCTCTCTCTCTCTCTCATATTTCATGACTAGGCATGGTGACGGCACACTTAAGTTATATTAACTAATTTTATGCCACCACCAACGTAGAGGACAAATACATGTACAGGACAGGACAATACTCATTTTCACTTGAGTTAAGTGTGGAAAGTCGTGTTAAGTGCCTTTCCTAAGGGCACAAGATCGGTGGCATGTCAGGACTCGAACCCAGGACCTCTTGGTTCCGAGTCGAGCACTCTGCCGCAACGCCAAACGACCTCACAACCTTTTCCGTTCTGAAATAGGTTGCCCAGACGGGTACGTTTACCATCAGCCTAGTCGCCTGTGCTACAAGGCCTTCAACGACAGGACAACCTACATCGGTGCAGTCGCGAGGTGTTCTTTAGACGGGGGGACCCTTGCCATGCCCCGCGACACTGCAACCAACGAGTTCCTCATCGATCTGAAAAATGCCGTCGACGTGAACGGTTGGTTCCGCTTTGGACTGACATATCACAAACAGGAGGGAGTTTGGGTGTGGGACGATAACGTTCCTCTGGGCGACTTCAGAGCTTGGGGTCCAGGAGAACCCAACAACGATGGTGGCGATAGCGAGGAGTGTGCCGAGTACTTTCCCGAATTCTGGTTCAAAAAGAACACGTGGAACGATGGATCGTGTACTGAAGCCGGGAAGTTCATCTGTCAAGTCTCTCCATCAGGTCAGCTTTAGCCTCTACCAGGCTTCGGAAGGCCGCTGGAAAGAGTAGAAATCGTAGCCTCTACCAGGCTTCGGGAGGCGGCTGGAAAGAGTAGAAATCGGCCAAATAGAGAGATAGCATGCCAAGGGAGTTTGTCTGCTGGGAGAAAACATTTTGCCGCACCCGAATGTTCTCTCCCAGCAGGCAAACTCCCATGGCATGTTATATCTGTATTTGGCCGATTTCTACTCTTCCTTGCCGCCTCCTGAAGCCTGGTAGAGGCTATCGAAATCGGCCAAATAGAGACATAACATGCCAGGGGAGTTGGTCCGCTAGAGAGTACAGTTCTGGAGCGGCAAACTGTACTGTATCTCTCTATTTGTCCGATTTCTACTCTTTCCAGATTCACACAGTATCGACGTTTGAGTTTTCCAGTTTTCACAGTGTGTGTGTTGGTTTTTCTCTAGATTTGTTATCAGCATAACTTGAGAAGGCCTGACTGGATTGTGTTCAATTGATATTTGTAATCAGGCAGGTCTCCGGAGGGCAGTAGTCAACAACCCACGCAACCACCCACGCAACCGGCGACACAACCGACAACTACTCAAGGTTATACTACTGAAGGTAAAAGTGACATGTCTTAAATTTACTTCCAAGAAGACAAAACAGTTAATCCGTTAGTCTTGCAGTCTTTGGATACTTTGATTATCATACATACCCGATCACTACTGGTAACTAATTTTCCTGATGTTTATATATAAAAAAAGTTTATAAAAGCATAGCCTCGAACAAAGCACAGAAACACTATTTCAGCCATTTACATGCTAAGGCCATGTTGATTTGGATGTCATATATATCCGCGCACGCCTATGTTTTCTATTCTCTATTAGACTAACTACATTGGCTATATACAGGAAAATATTTTCCATGGGAGTTTGGCCGCCTTGTAGGTTTGACTGGCCGCACTGGGAAAGAAACTACCTCTCCACGGCCGGACTCCCTTGGCCAATTTTACTCTCTTTTTTGCCGAATTCTATTATCCGTATTCCCGTAGAAAGACCTGGTTGAGGCTATATGTTTTCGTCCGTTTAGAAAATTTGAGTAGTCATCATCCGGTTGAAGTTGGCAGCCGACCAAGCCGGCAAGTGCCTGCAGACGAGAAAGTGGGGCCTGGTGTTCTGGCGGGAGTTGCCATAGCGACGGCAGTCGTCGGTTTCTTCCTCGGAGTGGGGGTGAGCCAGCTGGTGCAGTGGTGCCGTTCCAAGCCGGAGGGCCAAAGTTCAAGGCAGGCTGGTTTGGAAGGTAAAAAAATGGACAATTTTTCTTCTTCCTCTTCTTCTCCAAACAAATAAGGTCAATGACCTGAACCAGACGTCTGTCACCATGGTAACTAGTGTTGGGTTACATCATGTTTTATGTACATATTAAATTTCATGTACATCATGTACATAATTCATTACATATTGGTGTCTTTTTTAGTGCAAACTGACAAGGAACAATAAACAATTTTGCAGAAGAAAACTCATAGCTTAAGGTAGAATGATTACAAGATAAGTGCAGGGTAAACATCAGATATGCAGATTCGAAACAAACATGCAGAAACACCAAAAAAGCAGTTACTCAAGCAACTGGATGTGATTTTGAAAACGTCAGACGTTTCAGCAGTTTTCGTCAGTGACTAGCTGAAACGTCTGAC